AAGAGAGAGATCTAACAAAGGAAGAAGTCATAGTTTAGATTCAAGGGACTTTAGATGCTAATTCTTGTAGCTTCTTGCTATTGGAGCTTCATTAAGTAACTGATGAAGCTAATGATTCGCCGATTGTATTTATGTTCAAATGACGCAAAATGTTTCTCTTCTACAGTCAAAGTCGTAAATAGAATGTCCAACTTCTGTTTTGAAAAGTCTAATCTGTCCAATGAACTTTGCCATTAACTCTTGGAAAACATCTTGTGAAGTAATCTTTTCCTCTTGGACTGTATTAGGTCAATGTTAAAGCATAGTTAAACATAATGAATCTTTCTCCTGCTTTAGTTATTGGGTCTAACCATTTCTCATCAGGAAGTTTTTGACCATTAATGTTCTTAACAACGTAAAAGGCATTCTGTATTTCTTTGTATGCTAATTCGCTCTCATCAATCTTTGGTGGAGGGTCTGAGTATATTGGTTGCATCTCCATTAACGCTCTATTATGAGATCTCTGATCGTGATCTAAAGCAACTGGGGAATTTGAAGCTGGAACATTCATGATACCATTGTAGTCATCATAGAAGCTCTTAGCATTCTTGATAGCTTCTTCTGCACTTCCTGTAAGTAATCCTTGATTCTTTAAGATCAGAGCTAATTTATTGGTAATATCTTTTTCTTTCTTAGGCAGTTTGGCTCCAAACATATCAAACATACCTCTCTTGACATCTGGGGGAAGTTTATTAACAAGTCCTTTAAAGGTACTGAACAAAGACATTTATAACCGATAAAAAAATATACGTTATTTTTTTTAATCGTCATCGTAATCATAATCGTACGAAGATTCTGTATCATCATCACTGACATCATTGGTTTCTCTAACTTCTGGCTTATCTGGTTTAATCTCTATCACCATAAACATTGGTGACAATAATCGAACAGGCTGATCTTGGAAGTCAACTAAGGTAAACGTAACATTAGTTAGTTCCCATGGAAATGCATCTATCCATGGTGAGGATTCCTTACATATAAGTGGTTTACCAGATATCCAGAACTCATTGATGTTATAACATGTAGATCTGTACATGATCTTTCTTCGATCATCAACTTGGTCAATATTATTGAACCCAGAGATGACAGACATTGATGAACGAAGGTATAACTGATACCCGAAGTTGAGCATAGGTGGTTTTGGCATTTGTAGATAATAATTATGTACAATAGGTAGTTCTATTCCATATGCACCTAAAATAAGATTTGCTCTATGTGAAGCATCTTTTAAATAGACTTTATGTCCTTTGTCCTGTGACGTAAATATAAGTTGATTCGTAGCACTCAGTGAAACTGTTACATTATGTTGACCTTTTTTCTTGTTATAATAATCAAACTGTTTTGTTACAATCTCTTGTAGTTTTGATACAATAGTATCCATATCAAATGAAAGAGCTGACTTAAATGTACACACCTTTTCTTCTCCATCTTCGTCTAACTGTAAGACAAAATAATCTGTTTCGTCACAAACAATAAAGTTCGCCATAGTACTGACACTTTTTACTCTCATCTTTATCTTACTTGGATGCCCCATGTTAGGATCTGCTTGAAACTGTATTGTCCCGTAGTTATTAGGATCAGTCGATTGTAGATAATACATCATTTTTATATGTAGTAAAAGAATGAGTGTTGTTCCATATGCATATGAATGTTATAAGTCTAGCGTACTTCAATATAAAGAATATACTCTCAGAATTACTGATAATGCTTTAGTCATACATAAAGAAGGTGCTGATGAAGACATTACCATCGGTCCTGGTATATTACCTATCGAACAACCAGATGGTACCATTGTTGAAACAGACTTAAATCAATACCTTCAAGCGTTACAGAATCGTGTGACAAGAGTTGAGAATAATTACTTAGATGCTCCATTCTTCAGAACTGATAGAGATTATATGTTTTCATGTATGGCGAGTAATGGTTTGCAAGAAACTCGTGAGGTAAATATTAATGAAGCATTAGAGACTATAATATATCATGTCAAACGGTTATTATCGATTGACCATGGAGTTCATTTTGACCCAAGGTCTACACTGTTCAATATACCAATGATTGAAAACAGTCAATTAACATTTAAAGAAGATACATTGTATAATGCTTTAAACGCAGCATTTGCTTATATATTAGGTCATGAACAAGTACAAAATAGTGGTATTGCAATATACTTAGATAAAGTTATGTTAAAGAAACCATTGACATTCACAGAAGATGGTCCAAAAGCAACTGGTATTGTTGGTGATGGAACATTATTGACGAAAGAATACTTAGCAAGTCATGTCGGAGAATTTTTCTCCACTAATGATAGCATCAGTACAACACCAGAAGTTATTTTATTGAAGAAACCAATCACATTTGATGTTAAAGGAAAGACAAAAGCAACTGGTATAGCTGGCGATGGAGTTCTTCTGACTAAGGAATACTTGAAGAAAAATATCAATGACTTCGTTGAAATTGTCAAAGATAAAGAATCTGGTCTTAAGTTCAACCCTTTATCATTCATCTTTGCCATAGCAAACGCTGGAGCTACTGCAGCCTCATGGATATCACTCCAGAGTCAAATAAATGCTCTTTGGGCTTTTGTTGAAAGTCAAGAAGGTATAGATACTGTTCTTGACACTCTGGGTAATCTTGGTCCAAATCATAAAGGAGGTTTTGTGGATGGAATAAAAAATTTAGTTGAAAAGACTAAAACAAGTTTCCAGAAGATAACTCATATAGAAAGATTCAGAAATGAAGGTTATATGGAACTTGAGAGTTTTGATGTGACTGGACCTTTGGAACCAATTCTAATGGCACGTGATGCTAATGATAAAGAAGAGAAAGATCCTGGACCAAAAACAATCATTTCTACGTTAAGTACTTTGTACCCTGATTTTGTGACCTTAGTGAAAGTTGCTAATACATCAAGAAAGAACAATAATATTACTATGTCTGGTACTGATGACCTTACTGATTATCTTTATCTCATTCTTGCTGAATTAGCGAAGAAAGTTGAGGAGAACAAAAATAATGGAGGAAGAACTGCACTTAAGATTGCAGACAAAGCTGACAAAAGTTATGTTGACGAAGAGATACGTAAAGTTGCATCTAAAGAATATACTTTATCACAGTCTGTCATACTTAAGACAATCAAAGGTCCAGAGAAAGATATGTACCCAGGTGATGGTACAACAGTTAAAGTTAATGAAAGAGTTTCATTCCCATCTGGTATTGATGCAAAAGAAGTATATATTAATGGTGAAAACATCAATACAACATTGATTCCTTTGAAAAATAATGAGTTCACTGAACCTTTGACAGTTAAATCAATTCGTTCAAGAGAAGACAAACCTGTTATAATCAATAAAATAGGAGCTGATAATGACCAACCAGTTCAAATCAAGAAAATAAGAGCTGATGACATTATCTTGAACTATACTTTAGGCTCAAGTGCTCCACAAGAAGATCCTCATATGAGTTTAACAGAGACCTTGCAAAATTTGAATGGTACTGCATATAATATGTCTATGAGTTATAACAACTTTAAAGCACATGAGTTACCAGTTCTGTTAGACAACAAAGCAGACAAAACTTATGTTAATGAACAGATCTCAAAGATCTCTAATGCATCTGTAAACAATGGAATACCTGAAAGCATTACAGTTAGCTTTGGTAATAATGATATGGGTAAAGTTGCAATATTTATAAATTATAACATTGGTCCATCAGAAAAAGGTCCAAGTTACTATACATTGAGTCATGGTAAATCTATTGAACTTGTGTTCCACAAAAAAGATGGAACAAACTTAACTATTCATCCTGGAGATACGTTTGAGTTTTATTTGAACGATGTCACCACAGTAGATTATACTTATAGACCTTCTAACATGTTTGACATGATGTATCCAATTGGTTCTATATTTACATCAATGAGCTCAACAAGCCCGCAAACCCTTTATGGAGGTGTTTGGCAACCGATTGTTGATCAGTTTCTTTACTGTTCTAACTCATCAATGGACTTTGGTGGTTCAAAGACTATCAGAGTTGAAAACCTTCCACCACACTCTCATAGGTTCAGTGCAACAACATCTACTAATGGAGAGCATTCACATTCAATGACAAAAAGAGGTTATACAAATCTTGCAGCAGGTTCTGATAGACAAGGTATGAATAGATATGATATCACAGATGACCCTAGAGATGTTAGTACAGGTATTTTCTGCGGATCTGCAGGAAACCATACTCACACAGTAGCTGGAATCACAGATGCAACAGGAAAAGGTCAAGACTTCTTACCACCATTTATGACTGTATTCGCTTGGTTCAGAGCTGCTTAACTCAAGATCACGATCACAAACTGTTTCTCAGTATGAATGAGTAGCTCTATTTTTACATCATTACTGAAGTATTTCTTTTCTTCATCAATGACAGAAAGAATGTTTTCATCATCTTTTAAAGATCTTACCAAAGTTAGATCTTCATCAGAAAATCTCAAAGAAAGACTCATTTATGCACTAATAAAAATATAGCTAATTATTTTTTTATCTGAACTTTTTATCGGGTATATAAAGATGTCTGAACATCATATAAAGTTCTTTAAGATCCAACAGTTTGTAGATGAAGTGAAGAAGCAAAATAAAACAGCAAAGAGACTACTTATATGCTTACCACAAACATTATGTCAAGGAAAGTATGGTTATAGTGCAAGTCCGATCATGATCTTTGTCGATAAGCAGAAATACACAAATGAAGGTTTAGCTAATTTACTCAAGTTTGAAAAGATAGCTATAAACATTCCTGACCATTTCTCAGCGAGAATAAACCTTGACAAGACTAAAAGTTATTGTTTATATGTAGATCTCACGAAATCAACAAAGAGTAAAGACAAAGAATATAACCCAGTTGAACTTAAGACAATGGGTAAGAACTTACTCAAAGCTGCTATCAAACCTGTCGAAGAGATCGACATTGAGGATGAAGCAGAAGAAATAGATGTAGATCCTGAAGTGTTATAAACGATAAAGTTTATTTTTGGAGGAAGATGGTGTCAGACCCTTTAATCTGGTATGCTTGTTCTAGGTAATTGCAGAAACCTAGAAAGATTGGTATTGGTCTGAGTTTCATATCTGTTCTCTCATCTCTCCATTGAAGCAAGTAAATTTTCATGAAGAGTTCGTCTGGATTCTCAGGTTTTGGTACACACTGATCGAAGATCTGTATGACCTCTTCATGACCGTACTCCCTATGGTCAGACATGAGTGTTAAGAAGAACATTTGCATCTCCGGACCAGGTTTAGCATCTATGCAACGAGTGGGTCTCATTGACATTTTTGTCACTTTTATTTGGTCGAATGGAAGGATTCGAGTTCATGCCACTTGACAGCAAAGAAGGTGCAGAAGAGGTTGTTGTTGCTGCATTCTATGCGAGCTCACACGTTGACGCATTCCGAACTTACCAGGATGACCTCGAAAAAGAAGGTCGAAAGCTTGGAAAGATCCAAATGTTGCTTGAGTTCTTCCGTGGAAACCTTGCACAGAAGTATGAGAAGAAAGAATAAACAACTAATTATTACTGAGCTTAGCTCATAAATGTAAGTTTTTACTCTGATCAGATCTTAGATCTCGTCGGGACAAGCGGAAAGGATAAAGTCCATGAGCTGGACTTTTGTCTTAGTGAGCGGTACTGCGGTCATGAGTAGTTCGCGCTTGTTTGAGCCACTTGGAACGCGACCCTTCCAATTCCTCATAGATCTCAAGGCAGAGATCGTGAAGAACTCAAGGACAAAGAGTCTTTGAGACTTGGTAAGGAATCCCTCATCATCTCTTTCATCCTGGAGGGTCTTTGTGGATGCAGTGGACTTGATCTCGTCTTCCTCGATCGGATCATTCTCATAATCTTCATCACCCTTCTTCCTAAACGTCATCTGCTCTCTCTTGTAGTCGTTCCTGAGAGCATTGAGTCCAGCTTCAAGATCTTGTGAGTTCTTTGCAGGTTTATTGAAAGTTTTCTTTTCCTGCATTTGCTGTATAAGCTGGGTTTGCTGTTGCATCATCTGCATCATCATTGCCATCATATCTAGTGTTGGTGATGCTGGAGCTGGTGTTGTACCATCTTGGGACATTCGGTCGTCGGTTATGTCTTTACAAAAGACTGCTTTACAAAAGACAGCTTTACAAAAGACAGCTTTACAAAAGACAGCTTTACAAAAGACAGCTTTACAAAAGACAGCTTTACAAAAGACTGCTTTACAAAAGACAGCTTTACAAAAGACGTCTTGACAAAAGACAGCTTTACAAAAGACTGCTTTACAAAAGCATTTTCTCACAAAATTGAATACTTTTGCTTTACAAAAGACGTCTTGACAAAAGATTGCTTTACAAAAGTCTGCTTTACAAAAGACGTCTTGACAAAAGATTGCTTTACAAAAGTCTGCTTTACAAAAGATTGCTTTACAAAAGATTGCTTTACAAAAGTCTGCTTTACAAAAGACAGCTTTACAAAAGATTGCTTTACAAAAGCCATGACTGATCTTCATCCAATTTGTTTAATCGAACTTAATGAAGTAATTTCTGCATATCTCCTGCATGTATTTGGAAACGAGAGGATAAGACAACTCACCAAGGTTTCCAGACGCCAGATCCAAAGACTTGAATCAACTGCAGGAGTAATCCTAAGCTTTGAAGAAGGATTAACCAATAAGAAAGATGTCATTGACTCCAAGCGTGAAAGCCTTGCTGCTTTCTTACGCAAACACCCATGGGTCGATGTTGATCTCCAAACTCCTTACCAAGGACTCGTTGAAACCTTCACGACCTACAGACAGCTCCTTGACAGACCTGAGCAGAACCTTCTGGTCGAACGTGATGGCACATTAAGCCCTACAGACGAGTCAATCCAGAGAGAAGCTCAAGAGTAAAAATCTGACATTTATACTTTACATGACATTTTTTAATGAGTGCTCACGTTAAGATCAATGATGAAAACAAGACTCCATGGGAAGATATCATTGATGACATAGAGAATGACCTTGATGAAAACATGATGGGAGCTCAAACGTCAGTTAAGGTCAAACTTGGTGAAGTTCAAGAAAAGATCTCCGAGATCAATGCAAAAATATCAACACTTAAAGAGGTTGACGTTTATTACAGAAGCTTGGAGAGAACTTTAAGCAAACTTGAACGTCAGAACCAAAGTCTCATAGTTGTGCTCCAGAAACTCAGTCTCATGCGTAAAGCATATAATGACTACCTACATGTAAGAGACTTACCTTCTTATTCTACTCCAGATCTCGACTTTTCCGATATCAGTCCAATCCTTGCTGATACAACACTTACGATAGCAGGGATGCTTCCTACATACCCAGAGTATGATAACTTACCTCAGCTCTTCGAGTATCTCAAGAAAAAGTTCATGATCTTATTATGCGAGACCATGAAAAGACGTCAAAATACCAGAACAGAACGAGAACAGAGCTTACTAATAGACTTATTATATAATACTAAAGAAATAAAGGAGTTTTTATTCTAACTTTGGTATTTTTGGGAAGAACTGATCTGGATCATATTTGTCAACCACAGGTTTTGGTATCAAAAGTCTCTCTGGTTCTTGGACGTCT